CTCACATCCAGGTGGGGTACTCTTAATCCCAGGATTGTGCACTTAATCCAAGCCTCATACCCTTAATCTCAGAACCACACACTCTAGATCCAGCTACCTCTGAAAAGCCCCATCTACAACCACATGATGCTTTGCGGGGACATCTAGATACAAGCCATAAAACTGGATAAACAAGGTGTACTGTACAAAACAAAATGGGTCATAAATTCAAGTGGCAGGCCATAAATCCAAATAGCATGCCTTGGTTATAGTTCCAACCAGTTGTTAAACAGGTAGGTCATTGTCTTGGTTACTTTTCTCTCGTTGCTGAGACAAAATACCCAACGCCCAAAATGAAGGAAGGAAAGGTTTATTTAGCTTACAGTTTGTGGAGGTTTCAGTCCATACTTGGCTGGCTCCGAGGCAGAAAGTAGCAAAGCAACAAGAGCAAAGGAGGAATGGCAGCCGAACGGCAAAGCAGCAAAAGCAAAAACCGGAGGAATGGCGGCAAGCAGCTTCTTTCTTGCCTTACTTTGTAAACAGACTACCCCCATCTAAGGGGCGTGTAGCTCTCACATAATCTCCATGCCCTCCTCTGCAACAGGCTCAGGATATATACAAAGTAAGTACCCTGCCTTCCTGCTGAGTTACTTAGCCAAACCTCTAGACTCCCCAAGTTGACACAATGTATCAACCATAACAGTCATTAAACAAGGAATATCTGTACTGCACATTGTTGTATTTTGTTTTTTTTTTCTTGATCCATTCTGTCAGCCTGTGCTTTTTGATTGGGAAATTGAGACCACTCAAATTGAGAGTTATTTTTAAGAAATATTGACTTTTTCCTCTCATTGCACTGTTTTCCTGCTGCCGACTTCATTTTTCCTGTTTGTTCAGCTGCTCATCCTGCCAGGTGCATTCATTCTTTTTGAGGTACTAGCTTTGTTGGCTTGTCTCTTTCTAGGGTATCTTTACATTTTTTTTTGTAATGCTGCTTTCCCATTGTCTTATTGGTTTGTTTTGTTGTCTCCTCTCATTTCAAATAGCATGAGCATGTGGCTTTAGGGTTCCTCCCCCTTTGATCACTTTTGGAGGAGTTGGGAGTTTTTCGATGCATTTGTTGCCTTACCATGTTTCTGTTTGTCTTGTTTTATGTTTATGCTTGGGCGTTACTTATCGTAGAAAACTGCTTCTAGTATGGAGACCACTATAGTTAATGTCTATTCATTGTTGCCCTCTGGCTATCGCTTACTGTTGGCCTTTGCCTGTGTCCCAGGATCGAACAACTGTTTACTTGTGGTGGGAGGTTGCATCACATTTGGCCCAATACCCACTTTTCTGGGAATCAGCTGCAGTACTGTTAATGACCCCAAGCCAAACCAGATAGTGACATCCCAAGAAAGCCAGTGAATAGCAACAACCATGTCACCTTGGCTATAGTAATAAAATCAGTATCGATTTTAGTGTCAAAGACAAACTGAATGCTGACAAATCATAAGAACCAATAATGTCCTGCCCTTAGCCATAGAAAAGAGATCTGTAATTATAGTATGAACACTAAGACAAACCAAACATTGACCTACTATTGACCTACAGTAAATATCTACTGTATGGAGCAGCTTTTTCTCTATTAAGAGTAGAACAGTATTCAGTAGTAATAGAATATATTTAACTAGCTATTTAGAGATTCATGAAGTTTAGTCATTTTCTAGTAGAGGGGGAGAGGAACTGGAAAATGAAAGAGTAAAAGTAGAAAAATTAATGATATATGAAAAGGAAGAGAGAAAAATGAGATAGAAGATCCTACCATACTTCCTCCTACCGTATTTCCTAACAAGAAAAGCACGCCAGCCCAAATCAGTCTATCCTTGCTTTCCTCTGCCATGACAGAGTAGCCACTGAGCAAGAGAACAGCAAGATCTAACCTGCTGCATCACACTGGCCATCATCGTGGTAATGACCAGCTAGAGCTGGTTCTGCTTAGGTCTTATTTTTGGGGAATACAGTACAGACAGTTCTTGAATGCTTTTGTCTGTGAATACTTTGGTTTGCAAACAGAAGCATTTGGCAAAATTTTGTTTTCGTTTGCCAACTGTGCATTGGGTGATGAACACCACCGTGGCCATCTTTCCCGCATGAACATGAATGTGAATATCTTTTCCAGAATTGCAGAGTGAATTAAGTTTGTGAATGGTGGTACCACTGAATTGAGGTGTAAATGGAGAAAACCGTTGCAGGGAAGAACAAAGAAAAAAAAAGAAAACCAGCAAAATGCAGAAAATAAAAGAAAGCCAAGGAGAGAAAAAATGTTGAAAAGAGGAAAAAATAGAAAAAACTAAGAGAGAGAGAGAGAGAAGAAAAGGTCAAATAAGGAAGAAAACCCCCCAAGTCCCCTAAAAACTTGTTGAAAGAGAAAAATAATAAAAAATAGAAACAGCAAAAAAGACTGAGTCAAACAAAATTCCTATTTCTGAATATTTTCTTTCCAGTTTCTGAGGTGCCCTCCATGCACCAGGGCTCACTCAATCCTTTCACTCCAGACTGTGGTCACCATCCAAGCCGCAGTATGTCCTTGCTCATATTGGTAGATAAGAAACACAATCAGTGTGGGTTTACTGTTGGACTGAAGGTCGACACTCAGAGTCTGGGTGCTCGTCTATGGAGGGCAGGGCCTGTATCCGTCCAGCTCGAGCTTCTGCTTCTCAGGCGGCCTTATTTCTGGCCCACTCCGTCTCTGCAGTGGTCCCTGTGGTTGTGTCTCCCGATCACTTTGGGAGGGTTATACTGGAGTCTCTGAAGTTGCTGGCCCAGTCTGTGCTTTCTCTCTAGGTCTGCTGACTTTTCAGGCTCACCTTCTTTCCCCAGGCAGCGTCCTCTGCCAGGATCAGATTTGTTAGTCTCTGACACAGAGAAGCGAAATGTGGAGCTGGCTTGGAGTTAGTGGATGGTTGCGCCTTGGGCTGGGGACACCATATGGCTGGCATAGGCCTGCTTGCTTGTGGTTGAGGGTGCTGCACAGCGGGGACGGGCCTGCTTGTTTACAATGGAAGGGAACTTCAGCAGGCATGGCGCCTGCTTGCATGCACTGGGAGGGTATGGTGCAGCCTTTTTAGTAAGCTGCTTTCTCCTGAAGCTATGTCTTGGGCTGTCCGTTTTTAATGCCATGTTAGGTCTGTTTCTTTCCAGCAGGGTATGGTGGTGTAGTCTCCCTGTAGCTTCTTTGGCTGTGATCAGTGAGCTCTGTGGGCCTTGTGAGTTGGGGCGCTAGCAGTTCAAGCATGGCAGTGTAGACAGCAGTGTGCGGGGTACATCCTGTGTGGCTGCTCCTAGAATGGGAGTGGTGGGGTTTTCTTAAGCACTGTTGATACTGTCCATCACAGGTAAGGATTCTAGCCTGAAGCACTTGTGATGAGTTCACCCGGAGAGGTGGTGATAGGAACCACAACACCTAACAGCAGTGTGTGGTCTCACAAGGTTCGGGGGCAGCTGGTGGGGAAAACCTTACAGGTGTGGTGACAGCGGGTGTGGAACTGTGGTGTCCCTATCTGCTGTTACTGTGGCAGTACCCACCCGTCAGCAGGACCTCGGGGTACTTCTAGCCATGCAGGGTGATGGCTGGAGCTTTCCTTTCTGACTTACGTCAAAGTGCCTGTGGGCACAAGTGAGGGCAGGACACAGCCGATGGCACCAGGCAGTTTCTCTCTGAACTTCAGTAGGTCATGCACCTTAGGGTGGGGCAGCAGGGGGCCATGACGGGAGCCTCTGCAGGATGCCAGGAAAAGGGCAGAGGGACCACGAATGACCACCTTCACTCCTCCCACCAGTGTGAATCTGCACCCAGCCAGCCACATCTGTGATCTGAGTGCACACTCCCATCCCGGTTCTTCAGGGCAGCATTCCTGTTGTAACATCCCCCTTTACACTGCAGGGCACCCAGCTGGTGTGACTGTCATTCTACTAGGCCAAGTGTAGTTTGTGAAGCAGCTACCTGATCAGCCAGTGCAGTGGCATTATAGTGTCCCAGAGCAGCCCAATGCACACAGTAGGTCTCTACACAAGATAGTTTCTGGGTACAGCACCCTAGGGATTCACTGGGAGGTTGTGAGGAGACGCTTCAAAATTGCTTCAAAGTTCAGGCATCTGAGGACACCAGAGGGTATGACCCTGCTGTCTAGCACAGGCACACAATGGAACAAACTTCTGTAATCTTGACTTAGCGTTAGGCAGCCGCACATGTGCCACATGGTTTTAAGTCAGTATACAAGAATGTAAATATGTGATAATGGTACATATAAGGGCTACACAATAAGTACACAGTTCTCACTCTCTGCTGCTGCTGCTGTTTCATGTGCTTTCTCTGTGGACCCCACAAGTGAAACTACCCCTTCAGCCCCTCCACCCCAACAGAGGTGATGATGTAGAATTCTCTCCCCAAAGCAAGGCTGGGCTGCAAGGCTGTGAGGGTGTGAGAGCATCGTAGCTCGGGCTGTCAGAGTCTATGCCAACAGGGCTTGCTGGGATTCTCTCCCTATACAACTGCAGAGGACAGCTCCTTGCCCCCGGCCATTGGGCAGGGCAGCTGGCTGATAGGGTACCTTGTTTCTCTAGCTATGCATTTGTCCCTGGTCTCTGAATCTCCCAAGATTCTCTCTTAATTCCAGTGTCCTCCCAGGATCACTCAAACTGTAGGATTACAACCTGTTGCTTTTTCTTTTGCTTTTTCTTTTGTGGAGAAGCAAGTGAGTTCAAGATACCTCTACTCAGCAACCTTGGAATCCCCTCTAAATTAAGTCTTGACAGCCAGCAGCTGGCGTCCCTTACAGGAAAACCAACACCTGGAATCTTGTCTTCATGTGAATTCAGCTGAATTCTAGTAACTCACCTCTGCATGCTGTTAGTCTGGGGAAGGGGCCTTCCCTTGAAACAGCATTGTAACTAAGAAATCACTGCTGTTCCATGCTGTTCCACGGGAGTTGGGATGGGAGCCACGACGGGTAGAAAAGAAACCACACATACTGCTGTTTCTGGAAGCTTTGTTTTTTAATGAGCCATGGGGTGATTTGTTCATCAAGCTGCTTTTGTATAGCCATACAGTGCATATTCTGAGGGACACAAACTGTACTTTATACAGATGTCTTGTCTTCCCCCTAAAACAGGAAGTTACAAAGTGCCTGTTGATTGCATCGGGAATGTAATCCGTTCTGTGGGTGAGATAAATCATTCTTATAGCATTATTCTATTCAACAGTAAATGATATTATATTTCACAGGATATATCCTTTTATAATACATAGTCTTTAAAAAATTTACACAACATACTTATAAATTACTTTAAATCCATTAAAATAATATAATACTAATCTTTAGTTCACCTTTCCCATAGTAAATACAAACACTTGATTCAAGAGGTGTAACTGTTGTATGACCTAAGGAGACTGATAAGCACTAGGAATGGAGGGACAGCAAAGCGACAGCCCCACTGGTGGACCTTTATGAAAAGTTTCAACCAAGAGATTGCCAAGACTTAATGGAGCCTTCAAGTCAATCCTTTTGCAGTTACACTTTTAACACCGAATCAGAATGTGGGGGTGGTTCCAGATAAAAATGGGTTGCATGTTATTTTAAGGACACAAAAGACAGAGGACTCCCACAAATACCAAGGGTTTTACTCCCAAGGCCAGCATGGTGCTGGGAGACACAGCTAGGAGTTGTCACAAAGGTGGGTGAACTTACATTTTCAATGCAGAATGATGCAGACCCCACTTCTAGTTCCCCACCAAGGGCAGGGGACGAGGCAGATGAGAAAGCCACCCGAACCGTTTATGATTAAGACTCTTAGCTTCGAACACATCCTGAGAATCCTCTTTCAGTCAGCAGAGAGCTTGTGACAGGTACAAATTCACAGGGCCACAGTTAACACACAGCCCACAGAATCTGAGGTGAGAGAGCAGGACCATGCTGGACTGCCTGCCTCTTCTCCGCACATTTCCATAACCCTGCTCTGACCTGGGAATGTGCCCTACTGTGATGGAATACAGAAGTCTCCACTGATCTCAGCAGGCTGAGAGCTATAGGAAGCTGGGGACTCCAGCTTCCTGACCTTGGGTCCTTCTGGGTCCCTCTGCAGGGTTCACAGGAGGTAGGCTGGCTCTCTGTTTGTGTTTCTAGAAGCCCAGAGTGGCCAAATAATCTAAATGGTGGGAAAAAACAAGCGTATCACAAACTAAGCATATCACCTCCTTCAATCCTGCCTGTGCTAATTTACTTCAATCTGTGATCCAGAATGAAATTTGACTTCTCTGCTTGTTATATTTCCATGATACATAATGCAATTACAGTAAGAATATACCAGAAGGATAAATGTTTTATTTGGGGCTGGGACTGTGATGCTGACTGAATTTCAGAGTGTGGGCTTTGAATGTGGTGCCGCCTCACTGCTGCCCTTCAGGTATTTCCTTTGAGACATTTAAGATCAAAGAAAAGCAGCAGAGGAGAAGCAATAGGAAACCACGAATCTGATATACATTCAGGATAAATATCCTACTCACAAGTGAATGTAATGCAGCATCCCTTGGTGCTGATGTAACATTCGCTGTGCAGGGGGCCAATTAAGAACAGAGGGAAGTGGACATAGCATTTTTTCCCTAACAGTTTGTAAGAGCTATGGCTTCATCTCATTGGGAAATAACGCCTGTCATCCTAGGAGAGCAGCATTGTTTCCCTCAAAGGAGTGTGGGCTGGGATACACTTGTTGTGACACATTCCTATAATGGCCCAGATCTCCCCTCCCAACCAACCCCATCCTGGCAGCTTGTGAAATGACTAGAAATCCACAAACCTAGCAACCAAAAAACAATTTTTTTATTTAATTTTATCCAAATTCAGGTTTTAGGTCCCTGAGAAAAATTATAAAGTCTCTTAACATCCATCAACTACTTCCTATAAAGTGACCTATATAAATGGTTTTTAACTGCCAAAAGCTTATCTTACCAAAAAAAAAAAAAAAACAAAACGAAACAAAACAAACAAAACCCACAAAGATTTAGATGGGAGAACATGTGCCAAGATGTGTTCCCCAGGTCATCCCTCTGGGAAAAATGAAATTATTCACAAGGGTAATCTTTTTTAAAAAATATGGTTTTAACAACATTGTGGAACAAGTGGAAAGTAACAGTCAATGCCGAGCAGTGCACTACTCTCCCAAGAATATTCAAAGTGCACAACTGAATATTGGCTAGGCAAGTAGCACACCCTCCTTGCACACAGTCATGCACAGGACAGTCTCTGATATTCCTACTTTGCTTTGGAGGTCTTGCCATGTTGCCCAGGCTGGCCTTAATTAAGTGCCTAAGCTCAAGCAATCCCCCTGCCTCAGCTTCCTGCTAACTGGAACCACAGGCACATACCACCAATGCCCGTCTTTGAAATTCATACTTTTAAAGGTTAATGTTCATCATGCAGGACACGAACAGGTGGCAAATGTTCATGAATTATAAAACCTTACGTTTGCTGATTAACTATCATCATTCTGGAGCTTTTAAAGTCTTCCTTGCGCTGGTTCAACTCTGAACCAAAACTAGGAGGATGACAAATGCATGCTGCCTTTAAGCTGCCATGCAGAATGATGCTCCGACCTGACCTTGGGGGCTGGCCAAGGACCACTGAGGCAATGGCATGAGGTTCAGTGTTGTATAGCAGGAGAGACTCTGCCTGAACAAAACTCAGTATTTCTGTAACTTCAAATCAAAGAAGTATGAAAAGAATAACCAAAATTCAGGTTACAGGTGGTAAAGGCTCTTTTTCAGAACAGTGCATGTGGTAGTTAGACAAGATGCATGTAGTTAACTTTAAAAATAAACATTTTCATGAACTTAACTCAAGAAAGGGTTCCATTTTTTTATACATTATAAATAACAAAAACAGATTCCATCGCACAAATGTTAAGATGCTTCAAATATTGTGATAACTTAGGTGTGTAGACCACCAGTGATAAAAAGATGGTCACACTTTGCTTCAACCCAGGGATGAGTGGCTTTCACTCCCTATCCAACAGCCTCTAGTCTGAGGAAGAAAATCCCTGGGAAGCACAAGGTTAAAAAGAAATAGATATACTATACACATATTTACAGTAAACTTCAGTAACCAGTATATTAACAAAAATAGCTTCAAGTAGTCCTTGATTTTTTTCTTCTATTTAATACTGATGGTCTGAGGGAAATAAAGCAGACGTTAGATGGGTCATATTAAAACCTTTGAATTTTGGCAGCTTTCTATAACACTTATTCATGCAGTATTGTATGTCTTGGGGGTCAAGTGATTAAATGGTTACACTAAGTCCACGGTGGGAACCCACCAGAAGATGTATAGGCTCATGTGCGGTCTTCAGCTTAATCTATACAAAGTGAAATACCTGGATGGATTAGGATGAAGCCTTCATATTTAGGGATCGCTCAGATGTCTCTGGGACATTTAAAAAAAAAAAAAAAAAAAACTAGAGGAATCTGATCTTAGGAACAGGGAACATGAGAAGAGTATGGCTACTGCAACTTCATCCCATGCAACAGATTTGGCAGGAACTAACCAGGAGTTAAACCAGCATTATTTTGACATCAAAAAACAAAGCATGTACTCGAGTCTTCATTGTATAACCAGGTATCTCTTACATGCTCTAATGGCTTAATGGAAACAACAGCTTTTTTACTTTCCCCAGATATAATATGGAGTGTTTTTCAAATATTTTAAAATAGAGAGCTTTAGGCTTTTTGTTTATGAATGCTTGGAAAAAATTCTATTCTACCCCGGCTCTTTAATCTCAAAATAAACCTGCAGGCTTTTTGCTGTCATGGTTAAGAAATGTTTCTGTTTTCTTCCAATATTGGAGATTAGAGGGTCCCTCAGGTCCACAATTTCCTCCAGCAGTTCAACATCTATCTCCGAGAAAGTAAAGAAAGGTAGGGGAGAGGCAACGATCACTGACTAAAATCCCCAGGCCTAGGTGGCTTTGTTTAGTGAAATCTCGATTCAAATACAGCAGCCAAGGCACAGCTGGCACCCTTCCCAGCAAGCTTCGAGGAGGCCTTTCCACTTGCGCCGGAGGCCTAGGAATTCAGCACACAGGCAGCTATACGCTGAGCCCGGAGGCAGAACCACAATTAGGACTGTTGTGGCAAGGTGACGAGAACAGGCCCCAGACAGGTGATGTGTGCTTGCCGTGAGGGGACACGCATCTGCCAGTTCAGACCATGAACTCATTATTTCCAAGGAGAGGCAGCTGCTGGGTGGAGCTGCAGTCCGGGTCCATAGGTTTCCTGCGGCCAGATACAACTGTCCCCTCAGGGGTCTCTTTGGTTTTCTGAGGTGAGTTTCTCACATTCTTTAGTTTTTGCTTGCCTTTTTCAGGGTTGAAGGTTCCTCTGCTGATGAACTGAGGCCTGTCTTCCAGGGCTTTGGACTGGCCCAATGGTCCTTCCATTCCTGGGGCCTCACCAGCAGAGGCAGCTCGGTAGAATGGAGATTTGGAATAAATCTGAAAGCGTTTTCTGGTGCCATGAGAGGATGCAGTGTTGGACAGACATGTGGACTCCAAAGAATCCAAAGAGTCCTGCTGCTTTTTTAGCTGCTTTCGCATTTTGGCTGAAGGTTCAGACTTAGTAGCTGCCTTCAGGGAGCCAAGGCCTAAGCTTCTCTCTAATACAAAACAAGAAACCAAGGCTGTAAATGACAGTTCCCTCTAAAACAGTCGGTCAAGTAATGAACAGCAGTCACTGTTCACACAGATACTGGGTGAACTAAAATTTGGACGGTCCTGGCTGATTGAACGTGATAGGTTTTTCCCTTATTGTAATTCCTTTAGAGTCACTGTGGTGCCACCTACTGGAGGTTATATGCCACGGCCAATATGGTACTGGCTCCTCCAGGCCATGTGCTATGCCCTACCCTTCTTCCCTGGAGTCAAATTACAACTTCCTACTGCCCTTTTTGTAGTATCCTGTTTCATTTTCCCACACTCCCACCCAATGCCGGCATGCCATTTCAGCTGGTCCACCCCCTAAACCCCGCCTCCAGCCTGACCATATTTAACCATTGTTCTCTGGCCACACCCCTCAGAAGATCCACCACCCCCATACTCCTCCCCTCTGTGGTCTTCTCCGTGCCCCGCAATAAAGGCATTTTATTGTTTTATTACTTTCTGTGCCACCGGCCAACACCTTTCAGATTGGTCCTAGAAGAGCTCTCTACCCAATTCTTGTATCATTTTGAATCAGCCCCAAGGAAGCCTGGTATGTGACTAAACCACCAGCAGAGACCTAGAACAGTCACCATCATTTTATAAGCCGAGTGTAAGTACTGAGATCTGTCTCCTTGAGATATGCTGTTCCGTTAAACCTCTCCTTTGGTATACTGTCCCATCTCAACATTTCTGCCTCACCATCAGAAAACGGGCATAGGACAGTAAGACAGTATGTACTGTGACTACTGGCTTTCCTCTGGTATGTGTAGAAGGAAACATTAAATTACTAAAAAACTGTATTACACTGAAGGATTGCTCTGATGCAGTTTATCATGTTAAGATCACTGTACCCCTAAAAGGGACTATCTTAGTTTGGGAGGTCTTATGCCTTGTTTGCCAAACAAACCTGGAATCACTGGTCTGACACATTCATTTACCTGATCTCTCGGACATGGCTCCTTCACACTCCACATTCAAATTTTCTGAGCTATCAGCAGTCCCAATGGAGGCCTCAGACTCAAGGGTTTCATCATCAGAGGCACGGGGTTCCAGTGCAAGCATCTCAAACGTTAGTTCCTCCCTGTAAGATACCATCAGTAGATCCATTTAGCACTTGGTAAGAAGTGAAAGGAAAGTAACAGGAAGAAGACCCTGAGTGAAATTCAAGTAGCAAAGACAGTCACATTTCTTACTGGCCCCTCCAGGGTGGTGATCAGGACATATATGTCAACGTAATGGCGATAGCTAAAACTATGCAGCTAAAAGACACACACCTGGGGTTGGTGAGGCATGCCTGTAATGTCAGCACTAGGGAGGATCACTGCAAGTTCAAGGCCAGCCTGAACTACATAGAAAGATCCTATCTCAAAAACAAACCAAAAAAACCCACCACACAGCAAACATAAAACTAATAATGAGAGGCTAAGGTAAGCTGAGGTCTTTAGATAAAATGAATTCTCAACTGATAATCTGGAGATCAGAGTTCTAAATGCATCAGCAAAGTATTTTCTTCTTTCTAGCCTTTGACTTCCTAATCCTGAAAACAGATTAAATAGATAACCTCTAAACTTCCTGCCAGCTCCTATGCCCATAAGCTTTCCTAACTTTATCCTCTACCATTGCCACCATTGGGCCTTTCCTGGCTTTGGAAGCTATGTCACTTCCAGTTAAGAGTATTCGCTCTCCTTTATCATAGTCATGCCCCCTCAGATCTCTGGTCCATGGCTCCTTTTCTCGCTTTCTCAGGACCATCTGACAACACCTTGAACTACTTCAATTATCTTTGTAAAAACTCATTTCTAAGCCCTAATACCAGTTCCTTTATGTCTGTGCCTTCCTTTCCTCCATTGTCTATAAGCAAACTGCTTCAATGGACAGATTCTGCAACTTGTCATTGTCTGGACATATTCCAGCTCAGAATCCAATACTTTATTGTCTACCCACAATTTCCGCCACCTTCCAATTGTTATTCTTTTAATTAACTCTTCTCTTGCCAGATGCCACTTTTACTTTACCTCGAGACCACCAACCTTTTCCAGCACAGTCTCACTAGTACCTCACTACTGCAATTAAAATTGTCATATGCCATGTACATGCTCATCGGAGACTCTGCTCATAGTTCTTTCTTTGCAAAGACTTTTCCCTTCCTAGCAAATTTTTACTTATCCTTCAGTACCTCTAACACCATGTTCACCAAAGCTGAGGTAGATCTTTTCATGTCACTCTTACAGCAAGCTGCCAGTCCCGGCTCGGTGTGTACCACCTCTGTACTTCCGTGTTTTTCACAGCTAACGCCTGGTTGTTTTGGCTGACCTAAAATTCTAGAATCAATCCCAGTAGATAAAAAGTACTTTTAACAGTCTCATGTCCCCTCCCTCATGAATCAAGTTCTGAGACCTACGATGTGAGTTCCAGGAATTGCAGAACCAAGATCCTTTCAAGATGTGGACGTGTACATAGCACCTTCCAGGGGAACCATGGGATACATTCTTCTGAGGGAGGGCAAGTGTCACCCTAGTGAGGATGGAAGTAACAGAACTACTTATCTGTCCCTCTCTTAAGTTGCAGCCGATTCCTCTACCCAGTATCCAAGCGCCCATTTGAGCTGCTGCCTTACCCTGCTCATCCAGTTCCTAAACACATGGCCATATTGATCTTCACCCTTTCTTCAGAGTTGTGAATAATGCCCATTCCTTTGTCTTAGCCAGGAAATTTTGGGCTTCCTTTACAAAACCAATCAGGAAGGCTGGTTCCTGACCCATCAGGCCACCAGTACCTTGTCTCGGCTCTCCACTGTTTGTGGGACATGACCTTGACCAAGACTGAAACATGCTGTGGATGCCACCTTGTCCTAGTCAGCCTCTCCAGATCATTGCTGTAACAGCATTAAGCCTCCCAGCTCACGGAACATCCTGCCCCGAGGTGACAGTTTTCATACTTTAGCTGAGTACAGGCAACATAGCTGTTACCGCCACATCTTCTATATTCTCTGCCATAGTATTTGGTGCACAGGAGATATTTAATGACAAAGAAAGGCTTGGAGGCAGGAAATAAACAAGTCTCTCTCTCCCTGTTATGGTTTGTGACTAAATGTTTCCCCAAATCCTCAAGCAGTCTTGGGGCGGGCTTCTAGGGTTTATGACTGATTCATGATCCAATGGTAGGATTAACCTGGGGCAGGTAGTTTGCATACAACATAAGTGAGGGAAGGAGGCTGCTTGCAGCTACTCCTCCCTTTCCACTCATTGCTTTTTGCTTTCTTCCACCACTCTGAACTGTTGCCCTCTGCCATGTGCCACTCTACCATGAGCCAGCCAGCTACGGACTGAAACCTCCACAAACTGTGAGCTAAATAAACCTTTCCTTCCTTAATTCTGGGCGTCGAGTATTTTGTCTCAGCACTGAAAGAAAAGTGACCAAGATGCCCCCTCTGCACACTTACTTCTCTTTCTGCAGGTTCTCAATCTGCTCAGTCAGCACTCTTTCCTCCTGCTGCATGGCTGCTTGCTGTTGTTCTGTGACATCGGTCTCCATGGCTGCCTCGCTACCCAACATCTCTTCTGGGACATCAGACATGGAAGGCAAATGCACTACAACAGGAGAGGATGTACTTGGATGGTTTCCTCGACGGATACGACCTTTTCCCTGTAGAAAAAAACTCATATTAGAAGGTAAACTGACTCCATGTTTTATGTTGTCCATTTAGGACAACGCATGCACTGTGTCTCATACCACGTGGATGAATAAATGGAAACATTCTGTGAGACCTAGAGTATCTGTGAAACATCACTCATCCAACATGTTTAGTTTAAAGGAGTTGCTGTACTAGCCTGGAAAATGGATGCTTTAGTGGGTGGAAGTGTAAGAAAACATTGTACTCTGAGATGAAATTCTTCCTTTTAAACTGCACCCATGTTGAGCTAAACAGTCACAAATATTTAACGTAAAGCCAATTTATCTTTTTTTTTTTTGGGTTTTTCTCCGGTACCGGGAACCGAACTCACAACCTTGCACTTGCCAGGCAGGCGCTTTTGCCGCTGAGCTAAATCCCCAGCCCCCGTAAAGCCAATTTAAATTAAAATTTTAGTTCCAGTCACACTAGCCCCTTTGAAGTGCCCAACAGCCATGGCTAACTAGTGGTTACCACAGTGAATGAATGGTGCAGACAGAGACCATTCCCATCATCACAGGAAACTGTAACGGAGGACTGCTTTACGGCTAACCCTGGAATACACAATCTGTCTAGAAAGACTGTAGAAACATGTTCCCAAACTTGTTCTGTTGAAAAAGTCATATATCATGGAGTAATAGTAAGGTTAGAAATTTTGAGAAATCTTTAGATTCTGGTAACAGCAGACTAGGTTTTTCAGATTAAATCCCCTACTAATGACACCTTGACCAAACATAAAAATCAACATATTTGAAGATGGAGAGCTAACAGGGTACAGTGAGGACAGACTGGTCCAGCATTTAGTACTGATCTGAATTCCCAGAAGTGGTGGCACAGAGTCTGAGCAGAGCTTCTGACAAACTATAGCTGGGGCTGCCACACCTGGCCTATCCTATTTTGGAAAATAAAGCTTTACTGGAACACATTCATTATTAATTGTGGCCACCTTTTTAGCAAAGAGTTCACCGTGACAGAGACTGTATGGTCCACAAAGCCCGCAATAGTTACTGTACAGTCCTCCATAGAGTACAGAGTAAAAGGGCATGAGTTGCTGCCTGGTAAAACCTCCATACTAAAACTGGGATATGCAAGGTCTGCATTCTAGACAGAAGGATAAACTGAAATTCTAACAACTCCTGCCTACACTGTAACTTAACTCTAAATGATATAAATGGTCAGAAAACTGTAATCCCTAAAATTGGATTAAAGGGACCCATGACTGCTAGTGCTTTAGAACCTAACAGAAAAATAAAAGCATTCTTTGAAAATAAAGGCATCCTAGGGCTCAAAATATATTTACAAGTAGTTTTTAGAATAAAAAATAACCAGGAACAAAAGGAGACAATATAAATGAAACTAGAAAACAATAGAAAAAAAAATTCCCTCAATGACTCCAGATAGTGTGGATATCAGACTGACTTAAAACAACCATACTGAAGGAACTAGGAAGATATAGTTAATAGATGGGAGGTTAAGTCAGAAGAAAAATCTAGAATCAAGTTGGAGAAAATGTCATCAAAGAAGGTAAAAAAAAGATACAGTAAGATTTACTGTATGTTTAAATGGAATACTAGGAGAGGAGAGAGATTCTACAAAAGGAATATTGATAAGATAATGGCAAAGCATTTGAAAAAAACAAAGAAATTAGCCTACTGTTTTAAGAAAGCCTACATAACTACAAAAAAAAAGTCAGCATCTAGATATACAAAGGCTAAAAATCCAAGGCGAGAGAAAAAATTCACAGGCCGTCAGAAAAAACCAAGAGCCTGCAAATAAGAATCAACTATTAGGTTCCAATCTCAACAGAGATAATGGAAGGTAGAAATGGTACTCTGAAAGTGATGAAAAGAAAGTAACTGCCAACCTACAAATCTATACATAGTAAACGCCTCAGGAATGAGGTGAAATAAGGACATCTCAGACAAAGAGAAGACTTGACACTGATGGGTCTGTGAGAAGGAAACAGTAAAGGGAAGACAGAAAATGACCTCAGGAAAAAAGTTAGAGGCGTAAGGAAAAACAAAAGGCAATGGAAATAGCAAATATACAAGCCTAAATGAACAATGACTATATAAAACAACAATGACAATGTGTGGGACTTAAAACACAGATTATTAAAAGACACAGTAACAACAGCAATGAATCATACAAGAGCTAAAGTGTACTGAAGTACTTGCATGTTATTCAAAAAAAAGAAGTATCAATTAACAGACAGGTTTGTGGTGTGATCTTTATGCTACTTACTGAAGGAATGGTAAAACTTTTGAACAGAAGGAAAAATGGAAAAAGTAATAGTCAAAAAGGTAAGAGGGAACAATAACGGGCCAGAAACAAGAGGAAAAAGGAAAATATGTACAGCAGGACAAACAAAAAGGACACAATAAAACAGTAGACTTTAAATCCAAATATATGGTGATTACATTAAATATGCAGTAAATGCTGTCAAAATTGGAATGTTGTCAGACTGTATTAAATAAATGTTTAAGAGATTAGTTAAAACATAAGAATTCATAAAGGTTGAAAGCAAAAGGTTTTTAAAAAGACATACCATGCAAATACTAATCATAAGGAAGCTGGGATGTGGCTCAGTGCCAGCCAAAGTAAACTAAGTGTTTTATCTGTGACAGTTCACAATGGCAAAGGTTCAAGCTATGAACACTTCCAAATTTGCATGTACCTATGAAATGGCTTTAAGATTCAAAGTGAAATACAGAAATACCCAAAGCTACAATCAGCAGTGAGAGAAGAACTGTGTGCACATACTTAGTAAGATATAGGGTGAACTAAAGATAAGTGATTTAATATATAGAGACTTCAGTATCTTAACTGTAGAATACTCATCATTTTAAAACTATAGCAAGACAACAAATTTCCAAGGGTTGAAATAATTTGACTGACAAAGTAATTTATGTAAGTTTTCTGATAGTGCAATTACAACCAAAAAATTTTACATTACTTTTTAACATCTAATTTTAAAGATTAAATAAAGCCCTTAAGAATTAGACTTTTGCAAATGCACTGTCAAAGAAAAGGTCACAATGGAAATCAGGAAATATTTTAACTGAGAATATTAACATTTGTGTAAGCTTTTTCTACCTTAAAATTATAGCCTTAAGTGCATACATAAGAAAAGGTCACATATTAAGAAGTATTTCATGGAACTAGCTAAGAAACAAAACAAACCCAAGAAACAAAAGAAAAACAAACATTAGAAAAAACAGGATTAAAGCTGAAATGTAAGCACTTTGAAAAAAACTAATAAAAAATTTAAAAGCCTGGCAATGAAACAAGAATGTCCACTATCACTACTCTTAATTCAATATAGTACTTTAAACTTTAGCCACAGCAATTAGGCTAGAGAAGGGGAGGCTATGGAGGAACATTTACAAAAATCCAACTAATGTTGCCAATGTAGAAATTTTAAAATGTAATATTAAAGAAACTGGATCCATAACTAGAAAGTTTAAGAAAGAGAACTCTAGATCTTGACTTCACTGGCAAACAAGAAATAACATACAAATTCTTTCACATAATAAAACTCTTCCCCAATTTCTTTCAATAAGTTTTCAAAATGTATCAAGTACAAAGAAAGGACTATTACAGACAACTGTACTTACACACCAGGTGTAAAAATCCTAAACAGTATAAATGGAATTAGGCAATACTTAAAATATATAAAAATACACAAAAATAAAAATAAATTGGACTTATGGTGGTAGTATGATGGCTTAACATTATATTCACTCAGTGTAATATATCACTACCAATAAAATTAAAGTCATGAATATTTGAGACATTTCATAAAGTTCAATTCTACACTGTAACTCTTCGAAAACCAGGAATTGAAATGAATATACTTGATTTTAAAGCATCTACAAAAATTCTGTAACAAATGTACTTAGTGGTAAAAAGTTCAAAGGGATCCCCTTTAGGTGTGTGGGAGGGTCATCATGGCACAAATGACCACTATCGCCATTTTACCACTTCTATTTAACACTGAACTGGAGTTCCTAGCTCAAGTATAAAAGCAAAAAGCTTAAGGATTATGAATCAGCAAATTAAACGATCATAAATAGTATGACTATACACTAGAAAATCCAAAAGAATCCACAGAAAAGTTATTACAATGAATGGGTTCAGCACAATTACTGAATATAAGTTGAAAAACAACAAAATCAAGTTGTGTTTTTATATAACAAGCAACAAGACAAAAATTTAAATAGCATATTAATTGTATTTTAAAATATAAAATTAAAGATGTATAAGATGGCAATGTATACAACTATAAAATACTTTTAGGAATGATTAATGATTTATGTGAATGGAAAGACAGACCATGTTCATAGGTGGGAAAAAATACTGTAAAAATGCTAATTCTCCAGAAATTGAACTTTATTCAATGCAATTGTGATAAAAATTCCAAGAGAATTTTTGTGATGTCGATACTCTATATGACAATTTAATGAGCCAAGATTACAAAGCACTACTGAAGAAAGTGGGATGGTTGGTTCTAGTAGCCTTTTTTTAAAAGAGCACTACAGCAATCAAAATAATGATAGTGAAAGATGGTAAAAACAGAGTGCCTAGAAATATACCAGACACATAAAGACTGGTTTATAACAAAAGGGGAACTGCAGGGCATCATGGAAAGGGTGGATATCCATGTAAAAATATAAAAACTTGATTCTTACATTTTACAACATATAGGAATCATCTCTAGTTGGACTACATATCTAAATATGAAAGACAAAATAATAAAGCTTTTATAAGCTAGGGCTATCTTCATAACCTCAGGGAAAAAATTTTAAAAAGACCCCAAGAAGAACTAGTTAAGATTTATAAAATTAGACTGCACTATAAGTAAGAATCTGTTCATCAAAAGACACTTAAAGATAGTAGAAAGCAAGCCATAAAATGGAAGATACCAACAAAGGCTTATGATGAGAAGTAAAGAATTACACTTCATTTAGAAAAA